GTCTTACGTTAAATAAATCACCCGATATATATTAATGATAATTGAATTCGTGTCGCAATACATTTCGTTTGAAAATCAATCAATACATCGGGAGCAAGATGATAATTGTCGTTTTACTTACAGTCAAAACTTCTGATAAAAACCATTGTTAATCACAATGGTTCATTAACCTACATAATATAACACGAACACATAGCGATGGTTCGGTAAGAAGTGCGGAGCATTGTTTATACACAACCTTATTTATATTATGACGAGTGGTAAATAGGATAGGCTGTTTGCGAGAGATTCTCTTAGAAGAAGTTTTGAATAATTAGGAATAAGTAGAGTGGAAAATAATCTAGTGCATGTGTGACTTTGGAATGAGTGATTAGATTAATATTCATTTGTGGAACCTTTGATGATATTTTTGCATTAAAATAACTATTTTATAGTCTTACATCCATGAAAAATCAACAGTTTAATATGAAAGTTGAAATCAGCCACATATTATTCGATAATGCAAAAAAAAATGATAAGTATTCCACTACACTCAATAGCTTACTGTATTTCTAACTAGCAATAAACCTAAAGTGATTTAAAACTTCCGAATATTTATTATTTAATACGTTTCAAGTTTGGTCTATGATATTAACAAAGCAAAATCTCTTTTTGAATAATTAAAACGTTCATTTTAATTATAAAATAATTACAATAAATTAAGATGAACTTAATGATAAATTATATACAATAAACAAATATATTCATTTCTGCCTCTAATATTTGTGATAAAAAATAAATTAAAAACATAAAACCTTTGAAATTTAAAAGTACTTTCTAAAATTATTATAATCATTTGGATTTTCCTATGGCTAACTTATATTTACACAAGATTCTCAAAAAAAAAAAAAAAAAAATGTGTTAAAACGAAACTGTATAAATATTTATTTATAAAAAAAATGTATTATAAGTGGTAAAAAATATTTTTATATTTTATAATGGAATTGACTTCAATATATTACATTTTTGAAAACGTGAGATAAGTTGTACGTTGATTCCATAAAGAACTCTTGTTTTATCTTTTTTTTTCCCCTAAAACTCGTATGGAACCTTATAATGCTTCGTCTGATCCCTATAAATTTCTCCAATATTTCCTGGTAATTCAAAAGTATTTGAAAATGATTCAAAATCACTATATGTCAAATCTGAACGATTTTTTATAGTTGGTGTGACACAACTGCAATCAAAATACTGACAAATAATAAAGTGAAAGCATAAGCTAGTGGAGTACGATGCTTCGTTTATCTACCAAATATCTGAAAATTTATTACACTGTTGTAATGATACAGATAATAATATATTTCCTTACACATTTGCTGTATGTATTATTATGATACATTGTTTGTTTAACAAGAGTTGAGATGGTGTTATTTTAATAATTCTCAAACCCAAAGCAGTATTTTTAAACAAAAAACTTGTTTCTTTGACTTAAAAATAAATTTATGTTTTTAAGTTTAAAAAATAATTTAAAACTCTACCATTAGATATAAAATGTTAAATTCTAAGCTTCACTAAATTGATAAATTCCCTTTACTGCCACTATCACCTCCTATTAAAATAAACAATAACTTAACGTCACTTAACTTTATAGTGGATTATGTCATACCTATTACAAATTTAATGAACTCTTATGTCTTGCAAACAATAAAATTATTAAATTTTTGTTTATTTCAACATTATTTTGCAAATAACTGATTTGTATTATTATTTTATTAAAAAATCCAATATAAGATATTTTTAAAGAAGTTGTTCTTATAATTATTTAAAAATATTGAAAATACGTAAGCACAATTATTTGTTTAGATACAAATACACATTTTGATAGAATTGTAAAAAATGTATAAACTGTATGCAATGATTTATTAATGCATTTCAATAATATTTAATACACTTATTTCGGTGATCTATTTAAAGATAAACTATACACACTGTTTACTGAAATGTTAATTCCTCGGTTTTTTTAAAACAAAACTCATGATTTCTGTAAAATCTATTTTTAAATGAATGCAAATGTGTATGCCTAATTAAAATTATATAAATATTTCTTGAATAGTTTAATTTATATAGACTTTTTTTATGTATTATAATAGCTTAAACAAAACTTAGTCAATTTCATTTTTTTTCATTTTTTCTAAACTTTTTAAGTAATAAATAATTGCTATCAAAACATAATTATTAAAAATAGATAACGAAATATCTTAAGTTTCTATAAAACAAAATGTACGCTAGTACAAAAATAAATAACAATTTATTCAAGTGCAAATTTCCATTAACGACTTCTCATTTCAAAGACAAAAAAATAAGTAAATAAATAAAGCATACTATACAAAAAGTAATTGTAATTTGTTTAATATTCCAGTGTTATTGAAGTCAAATTCAAAGTCTAATTTTATCATAAACTGACAGAGGTAAAATTTTTAAGTACTTTTACCTAGGTACCAGTTTTAATCAGTTTACATTTCTCTACTCGGAAGACTACTTTTAGTGCTCAACTTTTGGGTATAAACTTCTCGAAACATTTTACGTATGCGATTGTGGCTGTATTTAGATTCAACCCGTATTAGGTTACGATATTAAAATCTTGAAGCAATAAATTACGGGTATTATTATAATTAGTTTTATTCGGAGGCTCGGAACTAAACACAAATATTAAATTCTTTAAATAATACGTATTAATAATTTCATAAATATACTTATTACACATGAATCTGAATTGTTTGTCGTAATAACGTATAATATAACTAGAATCTGTTGTAATAGTTTTAATACAATAGTATAAATACATAAACACATTACAATTATTCTAATGTGTTTTAATAATACTTCTTATTTAGATATGCGACTACGACAATTTTATTAACGGAGCTTGATCACAATATATTGACGTTATTAATATTATACGATGGTATTAAAATATATCAATGTGGGTTATAAAACTACCATATTGTATACCCATGTTAAATTTGTTTAATTTTTATGTGTATCAAATTGATTAAAAAAAAATTTTAAATTAACCACTTTTGAGTGTACATTAATACATGTTTTTATAATGTTACAATCTACGTTCTACATGCTAATTTTATTAAACAAGCATACTAGACTCCATTTTTTTTCTTTAATTTTATAAAATTTTTTATAAGAATACATCCATATAAAGAAGTTAGACTCCAATAGAATTTTGATTTAGCTGTGTAAATATTTTCAAAAAAAAGAAATCATTTTAATAACGATTTGAAAAAAAAAAAATTGTTAGTTTTCATTTGAAACGACCAAAAAGTATAATATTATTGTATCAATTGTCTGTATGTGGTCAAGGCATTTGCCCTGAATTTCTCACGGTCTCGAGTGACTATACTTACAGATAAACCTTTTTGTGGTTGTTAGTTGTTACCAAAGTATTGGTGGTTAAAACCATGACTATCGGAAAAATACCATTGGTGTGATGTTCCATTGTATGCGATTTCAATTATATCAAAGTTATCTTATCTGAATATGCGTATTTTGCAATTATCGTATTTTTACAAACCAAATTAGTCTACCTTTATAATAAACCATAGTCGCATTTGAAACCAGAGAATCGTATTTATCTATCCACGTAGGACAATAACTATTATAATAATTATAAAATGAACCATAAGGACATAATAAAAAGTACTGGCAGTGAGTTTTTGATTTCTTTTCGTTTTATTGAAATTTAAGAGGCTGTTACATTATCTAAAATTTACCATAAAATTATGCTTCCGTCTTCCAAAAGAAGAGAATTAAGTTTCTTTGTTAATAGAAACGCTATAATTTCCAAAAAATAATCTTAATTTTTTTACTAAAATAAAGCGTAGTTTTTTTTTTAAATTTTTATTTTTATAGCAGATTGTACTATGTGTCATTGTAGTTTATAAAAGTCATACGTACATTGTATAGGTAATAGGTACATAAATTAATTTATTAACAAGCTAAGCAACATTTTTTTTTTTTATCTACATCTACATTTTTATAATGAAAAATTAATGACGTTTCCATGATTAATGAGTCTTTAGTTTTATTAATTGGAAGTACGAAAGTGTGTTTTTGCTACAAACAATAATTGTTTTATAGATTTCACAATGTGATGTGTTACACTGGTTAGTTATAACAACTGTTTATTTTTGTTGATGCTACTTAAAAATAAATAATAATTTACACTGTGTAATATGTTTATGTAACTATCATAACCAAATCAACAAATCCAAAATGTATATTGTACACTATGCGTTAGATTGTTTTCCTGTTATAATTCTTTTGTTGTGAAGTTAAACAAATACAATATTATAACTACTCGTATCGTATTATCTAAATTTTAGATATTAATATTATGTGTTATACTTTGAAAACATAAATTTTATCGATTTGCTAAAAATATAAAACTCCAGATAATCGTGCCTGTACATAAATTACCAACAAAAATAAAAGTATTATAATTATTTTCAACATAAAATAATAATACAATAAAAAATAATAAAAACAGTCATTTACTCTAGAAAAATGATGAACATAAAAATTTTTATTTCAAAATATTGTTCATTTTTTCCCTATCACGTTTTTAAGTATTACTGTTTACGGTCAAAATCTTGTTTGCTTCTGAAATCTGGTGTTTCCAAATTTCGATGTATACAAAAGAAACCTATTGAATTTATAGAAACAACAACACCTCATTTGGTGTTTTTTATAATTATAGTTTAATATATTTTACTATCATAGTATGTGCGTTTAGTAGCCACAGATATGCTAGCGCTGATATCTATATAATAAAACAACAGTTAAGTATATACACAACACGTCAACACACGAATCGCAATATAACATTTTATCTACAACAATGATGTTATTTTTCTCCGACCACCGTGGCGATGGCGGCTCCCAACTATAGTGAAATACAATGTGATCATTCCACGATTTGTTTGACGGGGTGAATTGTTTTGTTACAGGACAATGACGGGGCCGAAACAAAACTGAAATTGAGGGATGGAAAGAGTGCACTGTACGGTGCACCGTCAGGCGCTATGGATCTTGTGTTTCCACGTCGTTTGCTGTTTGTCGTTCGTCGCAGGTATGTATTTAACATTTTTATACCTCCAACGCCGTAAATCAAGATTAGAAATCGGATAGACATTTTTCGATTTTATTTTTTATTTTATTTATTGATATCAGTTTTTACTAATTAGTAATTTCAATAAAAAATAATATATTGGTTTTTAAATGTTATGATAATTTTATTGTCCTCAATATCGATTTTATCATTTTCTGATATGCAGTTAGATATTTTTTATTTTTTTCAATTTAAAATAATGATTTTAAATTTTATATTTTTAAATTTGAAGTTAACTTTTAAAAGCTACATGTGTGCAAGGATCGTTTATTCTTGATGAGTTCCATGTGTACATATTATTCTGGTCGTTATGTGTGGCTGTGAAACGGTAACAAAATTACTTACCAATAAATAATAATTTTGAATTTTAAGTTTAAATTGAACAATATTTTAATCAACTTTTAAATAAAAAATAATTAAATTTTAGTTATTTTTGTATAAGTTATCGATTGAAATTATTTTAAATTATAATATAAATGTTGAATATCATCATAAAAATATTTTTGATTTTGCTTCTTTTTTTTTTTTTTTTACACAATTTTATGATATTTTTTTATTAATTAAAGACTTTGCGGTGGCTGTGGTTATTGGTCTGACTTTACGGTACATATTTAAACAGATTGGATTTTTTAAGAATATTAATAGATTTTGTGTTGACTTTGGCTCCGGTTTGAGGATTTCGTATAGATAGGTAGTATGTCTTCGCAGTCACTATAGAAATTGCGGTATTTGGTGAGGATATGCTTCACTGTAATTTTAACACAACAGGTAGGATATTTGGGTGGCTCTTCTTCAGTCATTTGATATTGATATGTCACTAATATATGTCCTATTTTGAGACAATTTAGTATGGTTGCTTGTCTTCTAGAACAGTGGTGCCCAACCCGCGGCCCGCGGGCCACATGTGGCCCGCGAAAGTATTCTGTGTGGCCCGTCACAAATTTTTAAATAAAACAAAATATTCTAAAAAAAGTAAAATTATATTTATTTATTTTATAAAAGTAATAATAATAATAATAAAATCAAAATAAATGTTTAAACGTTTTAAACAAAATATTCAAAAAAAAAGTAAAATTATATTTATAAATTTATTTTGTAATTGTAAAAATAAAAAAATTCGGCAATCGTCATTATATTTACGCTTTTTTCTGTCGGACATTTTTAAATAAAAATTTTACGATCGCTATTACCTATGCACTTAAAAGAGTAGACTGATCGTCGTATGTATCTACAATGTATACCTCAATCCATAATCTTTTCAATCAATAAAAGATAAGATATACACCATATATTTTGTACACATATGTATCACAAAATTATATTATTAGATTAAGATTGGGATTATTCGTACTTTTATATTTAGTGGCCCGCTCGAAGATAATTATTAACCAAAGTGGCACGCCGAACAAAAAAGGTTGGGCATCACTGTTCTAGAACTATCTACGGGAGGGGGCTATGGAAGTATTGACTGTTTTATTTTATTTATGTAGTTTAATTCTCCGTTTTGAACAATAATATTACCACACTTTAGAGGTGTAATTTTTTATATGTCATGATTTTTTTTCTTATTAATTAAAATGAGCTCTATAATAAATATATCTATGCTAAATTTTCATCTATGTAATAATGAATGTTATTCTTTTTTTCGTGATTTATGCCTAAATTTGTATAATAGAATGTACCTACGGTGTGTATTCATATATTTGTATTAAGTAGAGACCGGGATGAACCAAAATCAAATTATATCATTTTTCATGGATCATACGTATTGTTAAGCAACCGAAAAATAAAATTAATTCTAAATATTTTGATGTCTCTCTAATTATAAATAATAATTTATAAATAAAAATAATAATTATTATTAATTATGTATCATAAATACTATTTTTATATTTATTTAGTAACCTAAACAAGGGATTTATAGAACATTATTATGTTTCGTCATTGTTACATTAAATAATTACAGTTACGTAACAAATTTAAAATTCTAGGGGGGAAATGCCCTATCTTGCCCCTCTGGGAACGCCCATGTAATATGGAATATATATGACACAGTTTTATGGAAAACAAGTTAAGATAAATAAAACACTTTTGAACTTTCACTAAAACACATAAGTTTAAACCCGTAAGGAAAGAATAACACTAAATAAGTTTAAAATTAATCACATTAAAATCTCACGTGACACATAGATACTTGATGGGCGATGACTTAGACTCAGCCTTCATCGTGCTAACAAACACTTAACAAACTACAAATGAACATATTGTTATCCACTGTCATAATTTAAAATACTGCAGAAACAGTTTTCTTGAAACAGAAAATCTGTAAAAAACAATCGGAGCATTTTTATAAAACTTTTAATTTCGTACTAAATTTAATTTGTATATATATAAATAAAAGTATAGGATTTTTTTCTTATAGATCCATTATAATCTCTATTATTTTATTTATAAGTTTATTTAAGTTGTTTCATGTCATGCAATTCATGGTAATACAAAAATTGCACCAAACAAACTTTATTTTTTACACACATAAGCAAATTATATTTATGCAAACATATTATATTAAGCATATTGTAATTTTAATTTTTTTTCTCAAATAAAATTTAAACAAACCTTTATTTATAAAGAATAACATTGATATTAACTTTTTGTATTTTAACACTTTTATTCTAATTTCTTCGTGATAAATATAGTCACAAAAGTCACGTTTTTCAAAAATAAAATATAAAAGCCTAAATCTAATTATTCATTCTAAAATTTAAAATGTTTTATGACCAAGACCAAGAAAAATATTTTAATTATATTTTTCCCCTGTTTTATATATATATATATAGCCATAACTTGTGTTCCCAAAAATAATATTAATTAGGTTTTTGTTTTTTTTTTTTTAAAGTTTGTTCTGTGATGCGAAATTCAACTTTAGAACACTGATGATTTCATTTCTTATATAATTATCTAAATATATGATAAAATTAATTAAATACATCTTAACAAAACCATTGAACATAACTAAATATTTGAATCGAAAAATATTTTTTTAGTTTTATGCATATCTAACTTGAGTAATTCTTAAATAACAAATTTTAAGTATAAAAAAAAATATTATTGATTAATAACTTATTTATTAAAAGAAAAAAATACTATCATACTATCTTTAAGGTTATAATTTCCTTGGAAATTATACTAAAAATACTTGTAAAATTATTTTCTTTAAAACTCAAAAATAATAATTATTTATTTATTTAATGTTTTTTTTTTTTTTTTAATTATTATTTCTTGTCGAAAACCATACAATTCTTCTTTATCGATACTTTGAAAAGTCAAATCACGCAGTGTATACCATCTAAAATAGTAACAAATTACTTAACTTTTCTGTTTAGTTACTCTGAGACTCATTCTAATAATAATCGATCTTACTATATACAAAAGACCATCTGTTATCATAACTTTACGCCGTGTTATAGAAAATAGAAACAAGTAAAATTTTGCGTTAGTGAGTAATAAATAAGCAATCCATTTATATAACATATGTATTAAGTAGGTCCATTTCACTAACCTCATAATATTGGAATTTTTAACATTTCTAAAGAAATCGACTTTTATTTAGTTCTATCTTTACATGTTAATTGTCAAAAACTGATTAACAAATTATATTACCAAGACATTTTTGCATCAACTAATACAGGTTTTGAGTACATATAATATTATTTACCTAAGCTTATAAAAATTTTTTTCATCACACAAATCTTGAACGATTAAATTATATGTAATTTATATTTGAATTGTATTAGTTGAATTTATATAATAAACAATTGTGTATGGTTTCAAATTCAGCATTGAGATGGAAGGTAGAAGTTGCTTTACGATATTGCTGTTTTATTAAATTGTGTAACTTAAACGCGCCGATTTAAAAAAACGATATTATACCAAATTTGTTTTTTGAATTTCTTTGCATTTTTTTCGATTAATTAATGACTTGGTATTTATGTAATTTTTATTGAAACTTTATTAGAAATTTGGGATTATTTATTTAAAAATACTGTATGCAGTATAAAAAATATCATAAATACGTCATTTAATACATAATTTTTTTTTTTTTTTATATATTTTTACAAGAAATATACAATCTATACAATTAAGCACAATAAGTATATGTGAGATTAGGGTAAAAAAAACATTATGGGGTTACATAATACATAGTTTAAATATATTTTTACCTAGTATTATGTATAGTAGTAAATTATATTTTATTTGCGTTTGAAACTATAACAAATATACAAGATACCTTTTTTTTTTTAGTTAAGGAACAAAACTATTAATTTATTGAAATAAATTTAAATTTATCTCATTTTTAATTGAAGGAATTATTAAATTAATCGTATTGATAAATTATTGATTCAACTAAAAACAAATTATAGCTTTAGAACCTAAAATAAATTATGTTTTATATTTTCTAAAAAAAAAGAAAATAAATAAATAAAAAAAAAAAACTTTTATTATTATAGGAATTAGATACTGTTGTATATGTATACCATTAAGATTTTTTACTAAGATTTATCGTTGATGTTTGTCTCATTTAAAAGTTAAAACGTATACTATTTATTAGTTATATACCTACATAAATATAACACTCAGTTAATGGTATAATATTGAAATACCTATTATATTTTAGCAGTTTTTGTTTACTAAAAATTATTATTTAAATTAATTTGTTCTTAATTGGGTGAAAAAAAACAAAATATCTAAAACCTAATAATATCTCTTCAGAAATGTTTAATGTAACGTATTGAATATTTATGTATGATATATTTTAATTGGTTTTTTTAAAGCATCAAGCAGCTCATTCTTAACTATGTAGATCACTTTATGTATTTTATCTTTTACATTGTCTCAAAATATGTTTAACGAAAAACAAAACAAAACAAAAAAAACAACGTTGGAATTAGAATCATTTAACA